AAAACGTAATCCAAACACCTTGTCTATCATATTTAATGAAGCTTGCATGAAAGAACGTTTGCTGCCTAAATACACAATAGCTTCTCATGCCCGAGAAATTTTCATAGAAAATATTCGTCCTCCGACAGGAATCGAACCTGTATCCTATACGAAACCGTCATATAGCCTGATGTGCCTTTAATCGATTGGGTCACAAACATTTCTCGGGCATTCGGGCCGGTAAATGTTGTTTAATACTGTTTATTATAAACAGAGCATTTACTTAAATATTTGTATCTATAAAAAGAATGTATAAACATAAAAATGTCTTAAAATAATTGTCGGGCTTTGTATAATTGTCGGATGTGTGTGTGTGTGTATATATATATATATATATATATATATATATATATATATATATATATATACAAATGTTACGGCAGTTTTTTTATATACACAAAACCCTTTCAGAAAAAAATAAAATAAAAAAATAAATAAATCTCTATAGACACATAAACCAGACTAGGCGAAATCATCTTCCGTTTTAAATTTAGACACACCAACCTTACCCTGACTTGATATCTGTGAATGTAACTCTATACTGATACAAATTATTAACACCCTACACCCCTTCCTATTTAAACAATTGCTCTGGCCGTTACCATGGAAATTTTGATTTCAATAATGATTATGCTATTAAAACACATAAATTTCAGAAATAAGTTATTCCAAAAAAAATTTCGCTTGAAGATGGAACAGAGCTTACTTTAATTCAATTTAATTCAAATAATTACATTGAAGTTTTCGGCTCTTGTTTTGAAACATGAGACCTCTTATGTAGCATGTCGGAATCATATTTTTAAATAAATAATTATATATATATATATATATATATATATATATATATATATATATAAGTAAGGGAAAAAAAAGGGTTGATGATAGTAGTTAGAATTGCGGGAATATAAAAAAAAAGCTAGACGATAGTTTAACATGTAGTTACTTGAAATAGTCATTTTTAGATCAAAAAAAAAAAAAAAAAAAGCGAGAAAAAATAGTTTGGGCCATCCCAATTCATTTAATTCGCAATCTCCTCTCTACTCTTCGCTTCGTTCTGCATTCATTGTCAGACGCAATTCGATTTATTAATTACTTCAGCTCTGACGTCGCGACATATTTTCAACAAGCCGCCATATTAATGGCGGACACACAAAAGAGAACGAATCCTACCAAAAGAAATGTCGCTCACATCAGTGCACACCATTCTTTGCCAGATCTCAGCAGAGATGACAACAACGATAAAAGCCATTATCATGTAAATAATAATAATAATAATAATAATAATAATAATAATAATGAAAGTTTGCTTTAACTCGAAATGGCTGGATTTAGTCAAATCATCATCATCATCAGTTCCATGACTGCTTCAATCCTCCCGGGGGGACCTAAGGACGGAAGAAACAGACTATATTCTCAAGTATTGTATTTACATTAGTCGGACTATTGTCCTCATCTTTGTCGCCATATTTGTCACAACGTTTCGGCCGGACACATGGCACAGTGGATAAAGGCGTTGGTTAGATCCAGTGACAGACCCAAAGAAGGTGAGTTCAATACCTGGTTAAGGCAGTGGAGAACTTTCAGAGGGAAAATTAGCAGGAGATAACTGATAACTGACATCCATCAAAACATGGTACATAGAATTAAAACAGTCTACCCCAGTGATCGAAATAAAGGGTTCAGTTCGAAACCACCTGAAGCGTACAACGGCCGAAACGTTGTGACAAATATGGCGACAAAGATGAGGACAATAGTCCAACTAATGTAAATAATGTACATAATACCTCATCTCAGAAATATAGACGTATATATAAGTGCGTAGGTATGCAGATTCTCAAAAGAATTATCTGTTGGCGTGTCTGTCTGTCCTGTCTTTGATGTCTGGCCAACTCTTGCGTTGCCGTCTCTCCTCGCGCCCGCCTTCAACAGTGCACTGCATGATGGTCTTGTAGAGGCTGTTATGCCGTGTGACGTGGCCAAATCATGCCATCTTCCGACGCTTAATAGTGGCAAGAAGAGATTCCTGTCGGCCCATGAGCCTTTGGACCTATCTCCGTACGTATTCATTGTACTCCCAGTAGTGGTTGCAAAGGAGCTTTCTCAAGAATTTGTTCTCGAATGTCTGGATCCCCTTTTCCACCTGAACACACATGTACACACACAACACACACATAAACGTTGTTATATAAATATATATTTATGATATAGATGATTAAAATAGTCCCAATAATGTAAATAAAGTACATAATTCCAACATCTCAAGGATGTATAGACGTAATATATATATATATATATATATATATAAATATATATATATAGACGTATATATAAGTGCGTAGGTATGCAGAAAATAGAAAAAAGAACACGTTGGGTGCATAATCCGGGGTTCCTTAGTATTTTTTGTTTTTTTTTAAGGAGACAGTGCTCCATACAGAAGTAGAGCTTATATTATAATAATATT